TGGCTTTGACTCTGGACTCTGGTGGTCTTCTTTGGGGAACAAACGGTCTGGGCATAACACCACCACCATTCTCGTCTTTTGCTTGGACTACTTCACTTGCCACCTAACTGCATAATTCATCTCAATCACTCTTAACTAAGAGCCTTTGCATGGCTATTGATTTCCCTGGAGCTCTCTTCCTTCTCCTTCACCTAGTTACCTTGTTTTTATCCCTTGGAGCTCACTTAAACCTCATTCATATCAAACAAGCTTTTCCTGCTTCACCACCTCTTCACCCCTAATTAGATCACATTTTTGTTACACATTTCCAAAGGACTCTACTTTTTTTTTTTTCCAAATCACTTAATGACATAGTCATTTCACTGTTTGTTAAATACCTGTCTCTCTGCAAACACTCCCTGAGAACTTTCACGAGAGAGTGTTGGGCCTGCCATTATTTCCTTAGTGCCTGGCAGAGACAGAGCACAAATCAGATTTTCAGGAAATAGTGTTGAATTAGTAAATACCAGATGTGGACGAAAGCCTGGTAAAGGTACACATACATGTTGATGTCCACTCCCTCTCCAGCTCTCTGTGGCACCTTATGGTCTAGTATATTAGGCACATTTTGGAGTATCAGCCCCGCTTTCAACAATTCTGTCTTCTTCAGGATTTTGCCCACTCCACTTCCCAAACATATGTGGGAACTCCTAAAAGCCATGTTTGTAAATTTGAGGTTCGATGTAGAGACAGACCGATATACTTAAGCATGAAACATTACTCATTAGCTGTTTTAAAAATGAAAAAGTATCAGAAAATTGAGAAGTATCATTTATGTCTCTTAAGTTGCTTTTTAAGAAACCTTAATTAACTTGATGATCAGAAAGAAAAAAAAATAAAAATAAAAAAACACTTTAGGGCTGCAGGATTTAAAACATAACCTGACTTAATGGTCTCTCTGTGGTACTCTAAGAAACATAGCGGGTGCAGTGGCTCATGCCTTTAATCCCAACACTTTGGGAGGCCAAGGTGGGAGGACTGCTTCAGCCTAGGAGGTCAAGACCAGCCTGGGCGACATAGTGAGACCCTGTCTTTACAAAATTTTTTTTCTTTTTTTTTTTTTTTTTTTTTGAGACAGAGTCTTGCTCTGTCGCCCAGGCTGGAGTGCAGTGGTGCAATCTAGGCTCAGTGCAACCTCTGCCTCCTGGGTTCAAGCAACTGTTGTGCCTCAGCCTCCTGAGTGGCTGGGATTACAGGCGCCTGCCACCATGCCTTGCTAATTTCTGTATTTTTAGTAGAGACAGGGTTTCGCCATGTTGGCCAGGCTGGTCTTGAACTCCTGACCTCAGGTGATCTGCCCACTTCGGCCTCCCAAAGTGCTGGGATTACCAGCATGAGCCACTGCACCAGGCCAGTTAGTTATTTTCAATTTCATCCCTTTACTACAATTCGAATTCTCACTTTTCCTCCTCTAGCTGTCAGGAAGCTGGGAGGCAATAACAAGCCTCAAATCATCTAGGGAGGATACATGCTATCTATGGCCTTGCCATACCAGAGAAGACTACCACATAAATATGAGGCCAAGATTATATATCACATTGTTTTCAGTTTGGAGGCAGAGAAGTTAAACAGTATATTAAATCAGAGCCATCTAACTGAATACGCTAAAAATGATGCCACCATGGTAACGTAATAAGGAAATGGCACATTCTTCTGTCACATTCCAGCAGAGAGAGGCAGGTATTTCAAATACAGTCATGTGCCACATAACAATGTTTTGATCACCGAGACTGCACAGATGATGGTATATATGTTTAGATACACAATTACCTGCTGTTGTGTTGCAATTGCCCTGACGGTATTCAGCACAGTAACATACTTGACAAGTTTGTAGCCTCAGCGCAACAGGCAGTCTAGGTTTGTGTAAGCACACTCTATGATGTTCGCACAATGAAATCGCCTAATAATGCATTTCTCAGAATGTATCCCCATCGCTAGGCAATGCATACTATATTCGAAGCTATCTCACAAATAGGGTTTGACATATACTAATTATAGCCTGGCAGTATTCATTTACTAAAATCATGTAACTGTTACTCCCCTCTCAGGATCTGTCCCGTCGAGTCCTCTGACAGATGGACCTAGTGACTGTTGAAAATCTGAGTGGGAAGGTGAGTCTTTTTCTATAAAGCAGATCTAGAGGAGACTGGAAGGGTGTATGTCCCATTACGCCAGTTTGAAATTAATTATG